TTAAGCCGGGGGGGGGGGGGGACTGAAAGGTTTTTTTAACTTTTGTTATATGTGACTTTTATTTATTTTTTTACACTTAATGTCATTGCTATCACATAGGGGACTAACTATCCCCTATATAATAGCAAAGGCACACTGACAGGTCCTCTTTATGGAGACATTAGGGGTCTCTAGGACCCCTGATATCACCTGGGGACCCCCAAAGAAGCTGATGAAGCCGAGATCTGCTTCATCAGCTTCTTCTCTCTGGCTATAGCAGCCAGATGACTGACAGATGAATGCGGAAGTGATGTAATACACATCACTTCTGCATTCACATTACAGAGGGAGATCAGCAAGGAGGAAGATGCTGGAATTAGCCATTATATTCTGTTTCTGTGCACTAAATTTCATTTAAGTGTATTTTAGCCTAAAAATACTTGTTTGATAAACATTTGCGCAAATACCATGCAACATAAACAATTTCAACTTGCATCTTTGTATTCTACAAGACCTCTGATTTCAGAAAATATATCATTGTTTGGGGGTCTGAAGCTGTTTTATAGCCAAAAATTCAGATTTTATCATGTGTGTGTGCAAATGTAAGAAATTGCTTCGGGCAGTAAGTGGTTAATGAGCTTGTGATTTGGGTGTTTTTTTAAAGAGTCTGTTATGTGTGTTTTTTAATGCGTGTGTTTAATGCATGTGTTTTTTAATGCATGTGTTTTTTAATGCATGTGTTATGTGTGTTTTTTAATGCGTGTGCTATGAGTGTATAAATGTTTGAATATGTGTGTTTCCCTACTTTGCCTAAGCAGAGATGCTGAACATGTTTTAAACCCGAGCGCCCAAACTGGCACTTTGAGATAAATAAATTGATTTTGCGTCGCAGTTTGGACACTCGAGTTAAAAAACATTCGCCATCACTATCCTAGTCTGACAGCGAGTGCCCAGAGGTAGCGGGGGAGGTGGTGTAGATACAGGGGGGGCGGACCTAGCGCCCCTTGTGACTGCACAAGGGCTCGAGGCTGGGGGCCCCCACTGGAAGAATGGTGCCCGCATCTGCCCCTGGTGAGAACTCTTTGGTTTTTAAAGTTTATTGGCACTGGTATAAAATGTATCCTGTATGGGGGCAGATTGGGTTCATGTAAATATCTGATTGGTTGTCGGGGCGACTGTTTACTTTTCTTATTTTTTTTTTAGATTTTACAACCTGTTTAATTTTATATTGTGTTATGTTTTATGCGTATCTGCTGTATACTAGTCCAATTATATAGTTTGTGCTGTGTAATAGACGTGTGCGCGGCAAACAAATTTGGTTCAGACGAAACAAATAAAAACGAGAAACATTTTTATTTGTTTCGTCAAAGGAAACTAATTTCAATGCTGATTTGGATTCAGAGACAATGAGCCTCCGAATCCAAAACCGCACAAAGAAATTGCAGATCGAACAGCGGCCGTAACGGCCGCCAGTGTGTTCTGCGCATGCCGCCATTTTGGAGTGTATCTTGGTGTACACCAAGATGGCGGAACCTGAACATGTGGGTGCTGCCATCTTGGTGTATACCGGAGTCCAGCGCGTCACAAAGCCCAGAGTCCAATTCATATGCTGTTCTGCATTGCTGTATAAATGTGTTGCTGGGATTTGTAGTCTCCCTACAAGCGGTGCTATTGTGCATTATAGTTTAGGCTCCTCTGTACACAGAATCATGGGGCCCCGAAATTTCTGATGGCTGCCCTGTGTGTATTCTTACTTGGTTGTGTGCAGGATCTCCCTGTAATAAAGACCAGCCACTGCTGCTCCTTGGCTGACTGGTCTTGTATCACCCCCTGGACATTTCTGCATGAAGCCTGTTGTGAGAGGACCTACAGGGTCCCTACAACAGCTCTGCTCCTTGTTTGGCTGGGTGCACCCCAGTAATGATGTCACAGCTACTTTTACACGGTATTATCTGGATGTTCAAATGCATTTGGTGCACAAAAATTGGATTTATATCCTTTGTGGCTATGTTTGTAAGTTAAGTTTTAAACATTCCACTATTTGTGCTTATTATATTATTTTGTACTGTGCTGACAACATGGAAATGAGCTGGTTTCTCCTTTACCCGGCATTTACATAAGGTATGAGTGTGGTTGGCAGTAGTAGGCATCAAGCAAAAATGTACATTTAGGTTATCTTATTCCCAGCTGGTGGAGTTTAACATATATTTGTATATGTATTTGTAGTACTATGGATGATAGAACATAAGAAAGTAAACCAAATATTTAACTAATGCATTTTATTTTCAGACTGATATGAAAGAAAAGAGGAACATAGCCTGAGGGCGTAGCTAATCACAGTAATACATGTAAACATAGGATCACATCATACCACATATACATTTAAGCTCGTTGTGCTTGGAGCAGCAGAATGGGTATTTGTTCCTCTTCGGTAAACAGAGTGCTTATGGTGGAAAAGCAGGAATATAGCAGGATGGAATTTGGCTTTTCTAGCACCATGTCTTCATACAGTCACTGGAAATAGGCAATTATGTTTAGGCGTAGCGTTCAGCGGCCTTGGCTTTCAGAGTCTGCCACAGCTCGGCCAGCTTTACTTTGGCTTCCTCTACTTTGGGCAGGAGTTGCTCTTTGAGGTTCTCAATCACGGGTCCGAGTCTCTGTTTTAGGTTTTCAGCATGCTGGGCTACCTGGGCTCTGTATTCTTCTGCTTTAGGACCAGTGTTGGCTTTCACCTCTTCAAATTTCTCAACCAGCTTTTGCCTCAGTTCCTGCTTGTATGGGGCAATGTTGGCTCTCAAACTATCGACTTCAGAACGCAGTGTTTCTCTGAGGTCTTCAAGCTGGGGCTGGACACTTTTGTAAAATCCCTCCACATTATCCCTGGTCTGTTGCTTCAGCTGATCCACCAGTGGTGCAATATTCTCTTTAAAAGACTTTACTTTAACACCCCAGTTATTGTGGAAGGTTTCAATATAGGGACGGATCTTTTCTTTGAGGAGGGGGATATCTTTCTGCAGCTCTGCAGATACTTCTTCCCTGATTTTCTCCACATAGGGGTTCAGCTGTTTCCTCAAAGCCAGAGCATTAGCACTGAAGGAATCAAACCTCTCTCTGATTTTCAAACTAAATGGAAGAGAATATTTTCAAAAATTACAAGAAATGTATTCCAGACCTCGGATTCTAATCTAATGTGTGTACCAAGAATTCACAGAATATTGGATACTCTTGATATTAGTTTTCATTAGCTCATTTTACTTTATTAATAGCACTAGGGGTTATTGAGATGTCATAACCATTGCACAGGTAAAAACACAAAAGGTTTATTGTTTCAAATTATTTTAACATGATTGCATTATCAAGTTGGGATCTATTCCTGATACGCAAATTGGCCAGAATACAACTATATGAGATGACTGTGAGTTTCGGAAGAAACTATCTGGATATGTATTTATGAATTGTGGTTTATATTTTTCTGGCGGTGCAAACAGGCTTAAATGGGGGAAATCATGCTTTTATGACAAAAAAAACAAAACTTTTTAATGCAATTCATGTTAAAATAATTTGAAACAATAAACCTTCTGTGATTTTACTCGTGCAATGGTTATGACATCTCATTATACCCCAACTTTTTCTTGCTATACATGTACTTTCAAATAAGGGGGACAGGTGTCTTCAGACAGGGCATATCGAGGCAATGTATTCTGTATTTGTGTGTTATTAATAGCACTAATCTGCACAGGGGACCTGAGATCATTTTTTTTTTTAAACAACTTTTTTTTTTTACTAATCTCTTACAGCTTGTAACACCCATTTAAATTATGGACCATATGTCAAGATAGTAGTCAATAAAGGAGATGCTATGTTTTGGGTCAACTATAACCCTTTTGTTCTATTCTATCTAAAATGTAAAAAGAAAATCACAGCTTACTGAAAAGAAAGCTTTTAGGACATAGAGGTTAAACTGCAACTCACCATCAGTCTAATACTTTCCTAGTGAAAACACAGAGCAGCTATTGATAATCAGTGAACCACTTACTCAAGCTGTTTTGCAATGTCTGAAGACTCTGCCTGTGTAGCAGCCTCCTTGCCAATGTCCTGTATCTTCTGTAGGTAGCTCTCAACCACCTCCCGGTAATGCTGGATGGGTGTCTGAGGTTCCTCATTTTGCCAAGGGAAACGAGCTTGAGTTCCTAAAGGTAAAAAGAGACATATTTGTGTTCAGCCAAATGTCTACAATGTGAATTCACATCTTTGCTGCAGAGAACACACTTTTGGAGTCCGTATGGGCTAGGGATGCACCGATACCAAGTACCGTACTCGGTACAAGTACAAGTACCGATACTTTTCCAGCTCCAAGACTAGACTAGAGAAAAATTCAAAAGTTAGGAGGCAGCTGTCATTTGTAAGGAGCACACGGAGCTCCTGGGATTTGTACATCTCTGTTTTAATGTATGATTTTGTTTTTATAAATATAAATAAAGGGATGCACCGATACCATTTTTGCAAGTACAAGTAATGATACATTGTTTATTGTCATGCGACAGTTTTTATAAAACAATACAGACTAATGATTTCAGGACAGTGGTGGAGCGCCAGAGTCAGGTCCCAGCTGCAACCTCTGCAACCCTGGTAGTTCTCATGAAAATACCAAGTATCGGCACTGGTACTCGAACAGTATCGGTGCATCCCTAGTATGGGATATACAGTGAGGGAGTTGGGGTGAATAACACCATCACATGTGGAGAGACACATCTACCAACAGCCATGATGATTTAAAGAAAACATTATAAAGTAAGTGCTAAAAATAAGAGAGTGGCCACGCTTGGTGTCCACAAGCCAAATGGAGTTGAGATTGCCTGCAATAAAGTCCAAGGTGCTAAGCTTTAATAACTTTGTATCTATGACGTGTTATTAAATGTATATGCAGTAGCAGCATTTTCCTATGACATATACTGTAGGAGTTTTGTTTCTTTCCTGACCCTTTTATGTAACTGCAAGTCTACAAAATACCATCTGCCTGACTTTAGAGTCTGTAGTCTCTAACTACATGAATCAATTACAAAACCCCTGGCTAACAAGACCCATATGATCTTTAGCCTAGGCGGTATTTTTAAAATGAGTAAAAATGAAATGATAATGTGATTTGTTAGTGCTCACATGTGCTCTTACAGGTGTAACGTTTGCATTTTAATGATTGGTCTACATTAAAGTTCAAAACCAGCCATGTCACATGCAATTCTAGCACTTCAAATCTGTTGCAGTGCACTATATTTCTAGAGCAGTATGATGTGTAAAAATAAAATTCCTATATATAAGAAGCTTATATGAAATGATAATAGTGACACACTTAATGCAGATCCACCTACCCGTAAGGAACAGTAGAGCGATGGCTAGGACAAAACTTTTCATGTTTGCAAAATGTCCACTTCAGCCTGTAAAAGAACAAATACTGAGATCTTAATAACTTTCCTGGGTTATATTTACAATGTAGTTATGAGCCTCATTGGCTGAAAATTTGAACAATTATTTTAAGCATGCATGGTACTAGCTATTTAAGATGATAAAAAGAAGTAGTGAGCTCAAAACATTTTATTTCTATAATCACACTAGATACCAGTTAGGGGTTAGCAAACCAATATAAAAAAATGTGATTTATTTACTGCACTAAGTCTGCAGAGAATATTACCATCAGGGCATGGCTGCCTGATTTTCTAAATTACATCATTCTCAGCAGATCGGCCAAATCCACATGCAGAGTCAGGAGACTAAAGAAGTAATGGATGTGCAATTCACTTCATTTGATCATCCCTGAAGCCAGTGCCAAAACAAAACTGCACAAAAGTTTACAAAACCAGAATTGTACAAGAAAACATACTGAAACAATCTATATAGTAAATGGAAGGAAAATCAATTAAAACCTTGAAATGTTCATTGCGATCATATGTGCTGGGCACTTATTTCTTACAATTGCTACAAATACTACACAACATTGAATATAGTATCCCTCTTTCTATCCCCTATCATATCCATATTAGTGTATAATTGCTCTTACCTGCTTCCCTGTGATGGTTAGCTGCTGATGAGATCTGTTTGGAGCAGTGACTGAATTTTATAGCCCTGCATACATTGCTTTATCAGCTAAGATAAGCTGGGTCTGCAGTTTAACATGTGGAACTTGGAGAGTAAAGTTCAAGATGATGAGCTAGGAAAACATAAAAATCTGCTGGCTCGTTGCCAGCTATACATATACATAGGTCTTGTATATAGGAACAGATGTCTCGTTGTATTTCTGATTATAGCCCTTGCCCCCCACAAGTGCTTAGGCAGTCAATATCATTATTATTTAAAGAAAAGAAGTACATTCCACCAACATCATGTTTTTAATGTTGGCCACCTCTACAGAATTTCTGAAATTAATGTGAAGTTCTGATTGAAGTGGTTTATTTGTCCCCCATCCATTAGCTGTGCAGATTCCCTGGCCTGGGTTCCATCAACCCATCATCAGTGTGTAGAATGGGCAATGAGCTGTGAGACTCAAGATACTTCACTCCTGAAAAGGGCCAGCAGCTTCCCAGTAGACATAGCTTTCAAACAAAAGAGATACTGTAGTTGAGAAATTATTAGTTCAGTCTATGGTAAACCTTTATTGTGCGTATGATATTTTTATGCTTGACTGAGCAGTGATTTCTTTTTTTTTGTAATGACAGGGGGTCAGATTATGCCATGATTACAGTTCATGGATTAAATTGTATCTGTAGGAAAAACTTTTTTTTTCCAGTTTTGCACCCATTTATGTCTCAAAAGGGGGGATTATGGTCCACAAAGGTGCCCTTCAGAAAAGGTCCAGAGAATATTTTTTTCACAAATATGTTTTTTTAAATGTTGCGACAATCAGTAAATATATATGGACACCTTCAACGTGTTTTGTGGCAATTTCCAGCCACTTCCTGAGGATGGTGTAAGAGCTTTAAGATATGTGCTGCCATCTCCACTGTTGGTGACTATCTGTCTGTTAACCAGCAGAGGAGACAGTGCCACATTTTTCTGCATGCTCATATACCAGGTTGTCTGACCCCTTAGTAGGACTTCAAACCTCACAGATGAGGGACCAGCACCCCTCTCTTTGTCACAAATTTTTGTTCATATTGATAGCCTAACATGCTACACCATAAGGTTCTCTCCTGTGGTTTTCTTGTTATTTTTCTGTCCTCTGTTTTTTTTTTAAGTTTTTTCTTTCTTTTTCTTTAGTTATGAATGGGGTGGACAAGTGATGGACCCTCTTTCAACCTTTTAATTCTCCCCACTGGGGAGATTTATCACTCTTTTGTGCTCATGTATTATCATTATGTCCAACATAAAACTAATAAATGCTGTTTGCACAGTATTACTACCACTAGATGAAACTAAGGAAAATAGTGAAGGGAAATCCAAAATTTTAGAGTTGCCTTCAGAACAAAAGACAAGTGGGAATCTTCCAATGGGGATACCTGTTCCAGGGACAGCTAACAGGGGAATTTCCCTCCATTTGGGAGATTTCCTGTTATGGATCTAGGATGTGAATTTTTGGGGAAATTTCCCCAAAACAGCAAAAAATAAACTGGCAAGGGATTTAGCCCTTCTCTACTCTATCCAAAAGTTAAAAAAAAAAAAAAAGTTTTGGCTAGAAACATATTTTAAATTGAATGAGGCCCCAGCTGTTCTCCAGTTGATAAAAGCTACACTTCCTTACCTAAGTTTCCATCTAAATACTTCAAGAAAAGTTTAAGGGTCCCTTTTCTAGGTTAAAATGTTGTAAGTTGCATTCAATACTATAACGTTAATCACTAATGTGCTATAATATTTTTCTGGCATTAAAGCAACCCTGTCAGAAAAAAACAAAAACAAATGCCCTTTAAGCATTCTTTGTAAAAAAAAGTGACTGAGTAGTGACAGTAGTGACATGGTTGGCAGCAGGAACTACTGGGTGCTGCTGGGGACCAAGAAGACTGACAATCCCGGAAAGTGTTGGTTTCTCAGAAGACTTTAGCCAGTGATTTCTCTTGAATAGTGACACTCGACATTGTGAGCTGCCCCTTTTGGGGCATATATGTACTGTCAGCGCCACTTTAAATAGGTGGGACTCTCAGTAGACATAGGGTGGCCCCATGAAGATTAATTGCACAGAATTTGATGCACAGTTTCATTTGCATTCCATATATCTGCAATAAAGTTTTAACCAATTAACTATTATAAGCCAAGTATGTGGTCATCATCTGCATATTCATTTATATATATATATATTCAGTGACAAATGGGTGAAACTGATACCTGGCACACTTACCTAGCTTGTCAAATCTTTGATACTTTGAGTAGTGATTACTCTGTTATACTATTATCCTGAGCAGCTTGTTGGGGAAGAGAATAATCATCACAACCTTGCCAGTCAGAATTGTTCAGGGTCTCGCCACCGGTGTGTATTCGGGTTATGTCATGCATGAATCCATGTAGCAGCTACTAATACAATGCTTATTTTATTTAGTGAAATGTTACTGGTGTAGCCAGGGGTGGACTGACAACACATGGGGCCCCCGGGCAATACAATATTATGGGGCCCCCTTGTGCTCCACCCATATACAAGCCCCATCCACAGCCGAAGGGCTGCTGTACGGGCTATTCACAATAGCGCGTACAGCATAGGCTTCAGCTTGGCTGAGTCGTATTCACAGCCAAAGCAGGGAGAAAGGTCAGCCGAAACCGACCGATCTCCACGCAGATGACAGCTGGGCGAAGCCAGCAGTGTCCTTGCGGCTGGCTCCGCCCAGTTGTAATAAAAGATCAGCGTCCCCAAATTACCTGGGGATGCAGATCTGTAATTGAACAATAACAACTGGGTGAAGCCGCTCGTGCCATCACAGCCGACCCCATCCAGTTGTTATTTATTGGCCGGGACCTACTAGAAGACTCTGGCAGGTGCCGGCCAATACTAAACAGGATGTGCGTTGTTTTTTCTTTAACCAGTTGACATCCGCGGTGTTAAACCCCCTTCCCATCCAGGCCATTTTTCAGTATTCAGCGCTGCGGTACTTTGACTGACATTTATTCCGTCATGCAGCGCTGTACTGAAATGAATTTTATACCCTTTTTTGAGGACAGATAGAGCTTTCTTTAAAAAACGAGCACATATAGACGATCGGCGGGCTATGGAGCCGCTGATCGTCTTTATGTGAAACACCCGGTAACGGGTGTTTGCATTGGTCGGGTCTTTTCTGGCCGTGCGTGCCCGCTAGGGGGGCGCGCGCAAGCAGAAAAACCCACCAATGCTACAGTGCCGTCCGTCCGTTATTTTACAACGGGCGGACGGCAAGTGGTTAAAAATATTTTTACATTTTGCTATTTTTTTAAACAATTTTTCTAAAAAAAATGTTCTCATTCATTTAGCTTTTTTTCTATTCTGCTCGGTACCACAGAGGTACCGAGCAGAATAGCCAAGCCGAATGCCGCTCGCGGCATTTGGCTATTTACTTACTGCCGTTTGGCCCCTATGAGAAAAGGATCTTCGGCTCAGCCAATCCAGATGTTGGATCAGCTAAGTCGAACTTCTTCTGCACTCCGGCTCAGCCGATGTACGGCTGATTTTAGCCGAGGTACAGCTGAAATCAGCTCTACAAGGCTGAAGTTATTAGCCGAACAGCGTTCAGCTCACTTCACTTTGGCTGGGTTTTTCACTCGGTGAATAACCCCCATAGCGCTTGAATTTCCGTGCGGAAGACCGCACGGGACGCAAACGATATATGTGAAACAACTGCATGGATTTCGCTCGTTTGCAGCTATTATATAGCCGCGCACGTACAGAATCCGCTGGATTATCGCACTTGCACCATTTTGGGGGCCGTGAGGCTTCGTATTGCGCGGTCCCGCAATAGTCTAGACAAAGCACATAAAAGTGCATTGTTTTTTCCGTTTAGAGCGGCTCCGCTCATATGCGGACAGACCATCCAGTGTGAATGGAGCTTTGACCCGCGCGACCCCCAAAATACTGCAAGCGCGATAATCTGTCAGAGTCCGCATGTTTGCGGCTATATAATGGCCGCAAACTAGCAGAATCCATGCAGTTCACATATAGCATTTGTACCCATGCGGTCTCCCACATTAAAAACCGCATGGGAAACGCAAACGCTGTATGTGAATGGAGATAAAAAAAAGTTAAATGTCTTCCCATTTACAGCTCATAAAAAAAGTAATTAAATTCACTTACCAGCATCAGGGCTCCTGATCCCCAGGTTCCAGTCAGGGTTTTTGTAGAACTCCTCTAGTGGGGGGCCCAGGGCCGGATCTCAGGGGGGCCCCCACAGCATGAGGTGAGTTATTCCTAAGATTTACTAAGAATTACAGGCCTACAATATAAAAAAACTAATTTCCATGAAAAACAATGTACCGCT